ATCACCTCACAGTTACAATTTGTGTGCATGTGCATGGTGAGAACTTTTTTAAGATCTACTCTCTTGGCAAGTTTTAAATATACAATACTGTATTGTTAACTACAGTGGGGCCTTAACTTACGAGTTTAATTCGTTCCGAGACTGAGCTCTTTAAGGAGCTCGTTAACTCAAATTACTCTATCAACTCAATGCAAAAAATAGGCCGAGAGACAGCTGGTATCTCAAAAAACTCGTTAGTCGGGACACTGGTAAGTCAAGGCCCCACTGTATAGTGGCCATGCTATACATTACATCCCAGAACCTATTCATCTTACAAATGGAAGTTTGTACTCTTTGACCACCTTTATACCACTCCCCACTCCCCTCCCATTCATTAAATCTTGACTGAGTAGGATACCACTAGGTTCTATTAGGGAATAAAAAGACACAGAAGTCAGATCTAATACTCTATCTCAATAGATACAAATCTAATTTAAAAGAAACACTTATAGTATTTTTAGTGAAGTAGCCAGTTCATTGTATTTCCTAACCTTTCCTTCAAAAATACTTCATCCCAATTTATTCATCTCTTAATTGAATTTTCAGATTATTTTGAGCTTAATTTTAAGTCAGTTTGAGTAACAACCCTTAGTAAGTATAAGATACTGAGTTCTAAATTCTTAGGACTGCAGATAAGTTGATATCACTGAATTTATTTTTAAACAAAATATTGAAAACCCTTCTACTATCTATTTCTACTTCTTAAAGCCTGGCACATTTAACTGAATTTCATGACAAGTAGAGAAAGCATACATCAAAGCTGATAAAAAATTTTCTATTTTGGAATAGGCAACCAAAATTCAGTTTATTGAGAAACTATTTTAAGTCAGTGATTTTCAACAATGTACAATGTAGGGTCAGCATAATGCTAGACATAAGTACATAGATACAATTATTTTTGGCTTGCAGTTACAATGATTCAAGTGCTCACTTCACCCTCTCCCCTTCTGGAAGTCTTCTCTCCTACAATACACCAAACCAACAAAGGTACTGGATAGCCTCCTGAAACAATGTCACAGTATTCACTGAGCTTCTGCAGTGAGTCAAAATAGAAATGGGAGCTATAGACCAAGGAAATACTGTATATTTGGCAAAAGAATTTGTGGTTGTGTTCTTCAACAAAGTTTCCAAGATAACCACCAGTTCTACTTGGCAACCTGAGTCTCCCACAGTTAAGACACCCATTATAAAGTTGGCGTGTGAGATAGTTTCCTGCTACTGGCTTTGGTGCCATTACTACTCTTAAGAACTAATGTGCAATGGTGGTATAATAGTTGAGGAAAATGTTATTTTGATGAGCCAACCAACCAACCAACCCACCCTGTCTGCTGTCCAGAGTTTTAGCCTGTCCTGATAGGAAACAATTACAGTACAACAATCTATATGGTTGTTTATAAAACAAAGAAAACTCCCTCTAGTAATTTGAGATGCTAGGTAAGACGATTAAATTCTATTCATCAGCAACAGTTGAACTTGTAGTAGAAACAATTAGAGCATAAAAAAGCAGAACTAATATTTCTAAGTATTGGCCATTCTAGAATGTCAAACATCTATAGCTTTTGAAGACATTTCATTTCAAGGTAATTTCATAAGAACTCATAAGAATTTACCAATTTGGATTTGGGGCAGGAAGCAAAATAGAGTTCCTGCCTAAGGTGTGTCTGTGAATGAATCATAAGAAGGGCTTTGTAATGAGGTCAGCAAGTTAGGAAATACATTTCAATGGTGACATTTGGCTCACAACATTGTGTATGGGTGGAGCCTTGGAAAGATTGATAGAGAAATTCTAACTTCAGCAAGTGAAACCAAAACATTAACTCCAGTTTTTATTACCTAATACAAGTCCAGAGCCCAAACAGGACTTTGGAAGTCTGTCACAACAAGTCCTCAGCAGGTGCATTTCACTTGTTCAGGAAGTGATGTTGACCTGCCTATGTCTAGGGCTAGGCCCTTGTGCCACTGCATCAGAATCAGAGCAATCCCTCTGGCTCCTGGCACAGACCAGCACAATGCCAGATCTAATGAAAGCGCTGAGTTTGGTAAATGTGTGAATTTAAACAAAGCAAGGAGCACCCCTCATTCTGAGGTAATTTCTCATTAACCATTAGTTCAGTAAAAAGAATTATTGCAATATTGTAGTTTAAGAAAAACTATCTATCTTGTGCTTGTCTGCTATCACTTCCCTAAAATTCAATTACCCAAGACAATTCTAGCTATGAAATTTTTGATCCAAGGTACTAACTCTCACAAACAAGATAAATGAAAAACTGAGATTATGCTTTTTATTATGTATTTTTCATACTGATTCAAGTAATTTGTCTTTTTTAATAAATGAAAAGGTGGTACTTGTGTTCAGGTTGTGAATTATATGCACATCTCATTGAAGCTCTAATAAAACATTAATTAGCAGCTATTTTCAGCATGCAAATAAGATTCATAAAATAACAAAAAAAGTCTAAATTTGATAATAGAACAAAAAAGCCTTCATGGTCATAATCAAAATTATTAACCAAAATTAGGTAGTGTTATTTATCAGTGTGAGTGGAAAATACTATATCTGTTATTATTTGAATAGCTTGAAAACAGTATAAACCACAACATTTGAAGAAAAGTCCCCCAAAAGTAGTTAGATGCTAGTCTGTTAGCAAAGGAAATTACAGTGGGGCCTTGACTTACGAGTGTCCCAGCTGTCTCTCGGCAGATTTTTTTGCATTGAGTTGATAGAGTAATTTAAGGAGCTCGGTTTTGGAACGAATTAAACTCGTAAGTCAAGGCCCCACTGTATTTATTTTTAATTCTGAATTGCTAAATTATTAACCATAGTTTACTCAGCAAACAGTAAGCATTTATGCTAAATTCCTGTCCTTTTCTTTAATATTTTATGAGAAATACCTAGCCGAATGAGCTATTTCTGTTCCACAGAGATGAGTAATACTTCTCCCTTGTTCATGTGAAATAACCTCTAGTATCAGTGATGAAAGTACACTTAACTGCTTTTTCAGAGATCAAAATATAGAGTTATAAAGTGAACTACTGAGGACAAATGGTTTTAGAAACCTTATTTATGGAGTAATGTCTACTACTATTGTGCTTTTTCTTCTGTCCATCTTTTAATCATATACATGTCTTATAAACTTAAGCTTGACTTTCCAATCCTTCACCAACACCTCTCTGCTTAATGACACTAAGAAGATCAATATTTACTATGTTGAGATTTATATTCTATTTCAAACTTATTATGAAACACACATACAAACATGTAAAAGACTATAACTCCCCACCAGTATTTCAAAGCGTCCATTACAATGCAAATGTTTTCATTAGTCAGGCAACAATATTCACAACCTTAAACCAAACGAAATCCATATCTTCTTCCTTACACATCTCAACTTCCCCTAAGGTACAACCTGACTCTTACCATAGCTCATTTGTGGATGATTATTTTTGGATTTGGACCTGGCATCATTAACCCTGATTGAAGAGGGAAAATTACACTGTGTGATTTGAGATTTTACATTCATATACGTATCCAACTCCCTAGACAAACCAATGTAAAAATATGTCACTAAATTTTAAGCCAACAACTGCAAAATAATAACTCTCCTTTCAGCTCCTGCACACTAGATGAAGAGGGTGGGAATCAACTCCATGCAATTAAAAGTCTGTCATGACGGCAACTGCCTGCTAATAACGAGCCTTGCCGGGAGTCCAGCCAGGCCACCCTTTTATGTTGCCATAGGTAGAAAACTCTCCATAGAAACTCTGTTAGCTTCATCACACCAGACAAGTAGCCCCAGTGAAAAGATTCAAGATCCGACTCCTGTGTGTGTGTGTGTGTGTGTGTGTGTGTGTAGGAGGAGGAGGAGGAGAAGGGGGGGGGGGGGAGAAAAGCCCATATAAAAAGGCAGAGAGATAAAAAGACCCAAGAACAGAGAGCAGCCCAGAGAAAAAGAGAAATTTGGACGGGACTGTTAAAAAAAAAAAATCTCTCTACTTCTCCGTTTCTTTGCTGGGATTGGGTTTCGTTTCTTTAGGCGCCCCTGACCTTGCCGTCTTCCAGCTCTGCGCTCCCCCTCCCGGCCGCCCCCTCCCCGGGCCTGCGCCTGCCTTTGTGTCTGCCTGTCACTTACCGGGGAGCCCGGCGCAGCGGAGTCGGGAGGAGCACAAAGCCAGGGCACAGAGCTGCACACGAATTCTCTTACACACATTCCCCGGGTGCAGGGCACAGCCCCTCGCGGAGCTGGTGTGCCCGGAGAAAGTGGGTCCTGGTCTTGCTGGGGGGACCACAGAAACTATTCTCTCCTCTCTCACTCGGCGCCACTCACAGATCGCGCGGACTTCAGGGGGGAAAACAACACCCCGCTTAGCGCACTCCAGTTTCACTCCCTGTGACATTCGCCCGTACGCCCCCCCACCCAAAAGGGCACACGGGGTGGAAGAGGCGAATGCAAACCCAGACCCAGACCCGGACCCGGAGCGACAGCCGATAAAACGGTCGAAAACCCCCGTCCGTGTTCTTCCCGGGGTGGATCGGGATAGACCGGAGGCTCCTCGGACTCACCCGCGGGAAGGGGGGTGGGAGGACTAGAAGGAAAGGTAGTGGCCCCCAAAGCTGAACTCTTTGAGAAAGGAAAGCCAAGAAAAAGCACTTTCCCGGGGCTAAAAGGCCGGGGAAGCGGCTGCTCGGAGTCACAAAGGTAACTTTTCCGGGTCCCGAGCGGCCCGGCCAGGGCAGGAGAGAGGCGAGGACACAGAACTATAGGTTTAAAGGGGCTGGAGGGGAATTAAAACTATATTTGTCAGCCATGTTGAAGAGGCTCCAGTAATTTGTGAAGCTTCCCTCTTCCCTCTTGGTATTTGCGGGTGACACTGCGGGACTGGCGCCCCCGGCCCCGGGAGCCCGAGAGAAAGCGAAGGGGGGAGGGCAGGGGGGGTTCGCGGCAAAAGGCAAGCGCTCTGACCTCGTTCTCGGCGCGCAGCCCCGGAGCCAGGCAGCAGTCGCGGTCGGGTCTCCTTTCTAACAAATCCTAAAGGGCAGCCATCTTGCTTCCTTCTGCTCCACTACGAAAGCAGCCTAGCCTCCGCATCAATATTCATAAGGCAGTTTGACGTCTGTTCTCATCACTCGGCGGGGCTGGCGTCTCGGGGCGGCCGCGCCG